GTAACAGATCACTACACAAGAGAAAACCATATAATGGACTGGGACAACACAAGGATCATAAACGCCGAACAACAGAAATACAAAAGATGGATATGGATAATGTAAAACAAAATGGCAAATGGTGTTATAGACATTATCAAGATGACAGGAAGCAGTGGCTTTTTGATAAACAATACCTGCATAATCTGTAATTGGGAACAAAAGTTGAGTTGAGTAGCAATATTACTTCTTACCCTGAAATCAGAACAATTAATTGATTGATTTAGAATCTTTAGTTGAAAGTTGATTTTATCTGTAGTTGTTAATATGATTTTTAAAGGAGAGATCTGAGTCGAGCCAGACACCAAAATATTTAAATTTGTTGACACATTTCAAAGAAGAGGATTCCAGAAAAGTTCAATTTAGAGATCCAAGAGGAGATGAGGAATACATGCTTTTGACAAACTAGTGAGTATGACTTGAATTTATTAAGAATAATCTTGTCAGCTAACCTATGCTGTAAAATATCAAAAATTTGTTGAAGACATTCATCTAAAGCAGATATAGTGGGCTTAGAACAGTATAATATAGTATCATCTGCATACATATGGACAGAGCATGTGGAGCAACAGAGAGGGAGATCGTTTATTAAATCGATTAAATAGGTTGCACATGTGCAGAGTTGCCTTTCCCAAAGAAAAATTGTAAACAAACGCCATCAAACAAAATGAAAAATGTAAAAACAGAAAAAACTATTCTGCTTTCCTGATCCATTAATTCAATTTAATATTTTTATTTAGCTCAAATAAGTTACGTTTTCTTCAGTGAATAACTGCAGATATATGCTTTGCTGCATTTTATTGTTGATTAAAATAAGAGAGGGTTATGTCTCTGCCTCTTGATCAGCTGGTCCGCGGGTCTGAAGTGACAGCTGTGCTGTTGCGCTGCGGCACAGAGGGGGGGTAGGGGGTGGGGGGGTTAGACTCATGTTTTATTACTGAGCTCTGTTGTGGCTTATTATTAATGACATGTGACAATCAGCTGAAACTGTTGAGAAAAATCTGTTCAAACAAAATAACAGAAGATGTTCAGAAAGTTTAGAAGCCTGTGTTCATCATTAACGAACCACATTTCAGGTCATCTGCGTTTACGTGCTTCTAACACGGACTTTACTGTCGTCCAGAGTATTTTACCGAGGATATTTTCCTACCCAACATCAGCCTCCAATCAGGTCTGTAAAACCCATGTTATCCTGTCTTCTTTACAAGCGCGTCCCCATCACCTGCTGCAGAAGCTGCTGCGTTCAAAGCTGACAGAAACGGGGATCCGTGCGCTGCAACCCCCACAATAAACCTGCGTATTTCCAGTACAGATTTGAACATGTTTGTCGAATGATTTGTGCAATAATCAGATTTTTATTTTACTTCCACAAAATGCAAGTTCTGAATTAAATATGACTGAAACGGGGACGGCTTGTCGGATTTAAAAGCCGCCGCTCGTTAATTACGCCGTCATTTTTGAAGTCAGGCAGTCCAAATGACAGCGGAGAGGCCCGCTCGCTGTTGCACACATGCACAGTGGGCATTATTTTACCCCATCAATCCGAATGGCTGTGTACATGCACGTCAATCAGAATGATGAACGGAATAAACCACCTCTCTCAATCGGATTGAAATTTCAATCCGATCGGGCCGAATCGGATCAGATTATTCCGATTGACATGTTTACATGTAGAATTTTCGATCTGATTGGGCATTCAATCCAATTAAATATGCGCATGTAAACGTGGCTTTTGTTTAGACTGTTTCTGTAATAATATGACTATGGCATTTCTAGTTTTAGTTGTGCATATATTCCTTATGTTAATGAGCTGCTTGCTGATTGGTTGGTTTAAACAGGGAGGCCTCAGACACTGAAGACAGCAGATTGGAGAAGGAAGTGCTCCACATTGTGATGTTATTATGAGAGGTTTCTCAGAAAATAAGTTTTCTCTAGCATTTTTCAACTTTCTAATTTACATAAAAAGTAGGTCACAACCAGCTTTGATTTTTTTTTGGTGTGCTACTTTAGACCACCGAAGCTATCTTTATCACAAACAACAAAAAAATGTTGGTTTAGATTATTTGTTCCCTTTAATCTACAAATTTATCATCACATGAAGACTTGAGCTTCTTCAACATTTGATCTTATGCACTTGTTATTGATTAAAACACCCAGCTTTTAAAAAATAAATTTTACAAAAAGTTTTTGAACCACTGACTGTTTAGTAATGATGCCTGTTTACATAATGAGCTGCCGTCTATCCCAAACAGCAAAGTAAATTGAAACAAAGTTTAATTATGCAAAATTTAAACTGTAATGTGATAAAACAGAACACTAGCGTCTAATAACTCTGCTGATGCTGGGTCCAGGTATGGTCTCACCTTTTTTTCTTGGCAGGATGGTTTGCAGTGTCCATGGAGACTCCGGTCATTCAAAGTCCAACACGTTGCCTAAAAACAATAACTAAACCCAATCACACAAGTCCCACATGCCAGGGCTTACAGCATTCTGCTCTGGCCAGGCTTAAGGCACACACACACACACACACACACACACACACACACACACACACACACACACACACACACACACACACACACACACACACCAAGTAGTGTTTCCATAGTTACATTGTGATTTCTTAGTAAATATTCTATTTGGTGAGAGATAAACTTCATTGTATTTATCCTAGTGAATCTATAATTAAACGGGTAAACAAGCAGTAGCACATCCAATGTCAAGGAAAGTAAAATATTATTATCAGGAAAGGGAGAATATATTAGTGGTTAGCAGCAGTGTTCAAGACGATGGCCCCCTCCATGAGGGCACCACAAGCTAAGCAGAACATCATTGTAGCTTCTTCTGGGGAGAAAAACACTTAGAGGAAAAATTAAGTTAACAGCTGAAATTGAAGGAAATAATACAGTTAACTCATTCACTGCCATTGATGACTAAAGTCGTCATTTGCATTTTTTTCACTGTTTGAGCATCAGAACGAGCCCCCGCGCTGGGAGAACAAACATCTCAGCCCTGAAGCAAATCTTCATCCGCATATGTCACACGTCACATGATCAGGAAGCAGACCATCCATGTATTAGGAGATCGTTTTGGGCCGTTCCTGTAAAAAAAGTGAGGCGCGAACCGGAAAAGCTTCTGCCGATCACAATTCAACAACGGATTATGAAAGAACGGATAACGCTCGAAACACACAGATTCTTCCTGATGTAAGAGGTGAGTCTCCGCTTTGTTTTGGTTGTTTTGGCATCGAAATAATCCTAGCGCGCAACATTCTGTGACTCTTAAAAAACAGTAAAAACGGTGAGAAACGCTGACAGCGAAGGCCATTAGCGATCAGGAAACGACTGGCAGTGAATGAGTTAAAGAGTAGATTGTAGAAGAAAGTAGAAGAGTGTGGAAAGTGGTCAGTGTGGCCTCCAGCAGTCTAAGCCTATAGCAGCATAACCACAGAGATAACTCTGGATAACCTAGCCTTTTTAGATGGAGGCATGTTGGAGGCAGGGCAAGGGAGAGCCATCTTTACCGACTGTAGAAGTCAAGTCCAGTACTCGAACTCCTGAGGCTGCTTGCAAGAATTATTGCAAGTTCTGATTGCATCAAATCATCCAATGTCAAAGCACCTCTTTTTGTAACCATTTGACTGGTGGTCTGCTTTGACTGATCCTGTGGCTGCTTTTTTGAACGACTTCGGGCCAACAACATGACTTTCAACCTCAAAAACCAAGCAACTGTTATTTTGAAGTACAAGATGAGCTGGTCTGTAGGACTATTGTCATGACCTATATTAATGGTGTTCACTGTTGCCTCCTTCTTCACTTCTTGATCATTACAATCCAGTGATGTATCCAAAACTGGTTCGGGCCACTCTTCTGTGTGTCTCCAAAGAAACAGAGGTCCTTTCAACCAGTTGTTCTTTTCCAAGAAATCTGAGACTTTCATTCCTCTTGAAGCACCATCAGCTGGATTGTCTTTAGAGCTGACATGTCTCCATTGTGAAGGTTCTGACACTTCTCTGATGGTTGAAATTCTGTTGGCCACGAATGTGTGAAAGCGTTTGTCCTTATTGTTCAGATATTTTATTACCGAAGTACTATCTGTCCAAAAAACTGAAGCTTCCAGTTGGAAATTGAGCTCCATCTTCAGCAAAGTGTCCATTCTGGCAGCTAAAACAGCTGCTGTCAGTTCCAACCTTGGAATAGTAACAGCTTTTAAGGGTGTTACTCTGGCTTTGCCGAGCAGAAAGGTAACCTGAATGTCGTCCTCTGGATTCAACATCCGAATGTAGGTTACAGTTCCGTATCCTCGTTCACTTGCATCAGCAAAGTGATGTAACTGTGCAAGTTTGATTTTCCCAAACTTCACTGGCTTGATGCATCTATTTACATTAAATGCAGTCAGTTGATCCAGATCTTCCAACCATTTTTTCCATTGGTGTGAGATGTCTTTGGGTAGATCATCATCCCATCCACAACGTCTCCTACAGAGTTCTTGCTGCATTATTTTGGAGAGCAGAACAATCGGTGCCAAAAAAAAACCCCAGTGGATCATACACCGAACAAATAGTTGACAGCATACCACGCCTGGTAAAGGATTGCTGTTTCATCTCCATCTTGAACTTAAAGGTGTCAGTTTCCATGCACCACTGAAGGCCAAGGGTCCTTTCAACTGGAAGTTCTGTTTGCTCCAGGTCCAGATCCATTAAGCTCTTGGCTCTGAAATCTTCTGCAATGGATTGTAGCACCGTTCTGCTATTGCAGCTCCATTTGTCCAACACAAAACCACCCTTTTCACATAAGCGGCTTAAAGGCCCCGTGTGTGAAATTCACAGAAATCATAGTAAAAAGATCCAACTCTTTAGCACCACGCAGTTTAGAGTCGGTATTGCAGCTATTGGAGCCCCCGAGGATCAAAAAGGGTTTTTTAATCATTATTTAAAACTTTATTAACAAATATAACAAATACAATACAAAATCGTGTTGCTGTAAACGGCAGCATGTCATCATCTAATTCCAGCTTTCAAGTCAGCGAACAGGTTAGTTGTTTTCATCTAACTTATTTTATTAATTTAATCTAAATAGGTTTTGAATAAGAAAAACTTTTTTATGTCAGTTATGTTTGCTAATAGCAAACGGCAGCTAGTTAGTGATGACTTCTGACTACAAAAAATGACAATATTTTGTTCATTTTATTTGAGAAATGTTATATTTCTATTTGCCATTTTGGAAATATACAAGGTAGTGTAGTCTGTAATTGTTTTCTCTCCATAAACAGAGTCAGATATCATCCGATGGTTCATCAGTGGAGACAGACAGAGGACGAGGGAGAGGAAGAGGGCGAGGAAGAGGGAGAGGAAGAGGGAGAGGACAGACGTGTGCCAGCGCACAGAGAGGCAGAGGTGTTAGACATGCGACAGAAGCAGGGCAAGCATCCCAAGATGAAGGAGCCGAAATTGCTCAAACCAGCCGCAACGTCCCACGCACAAGAGGAAGAGGCAGAGCTGCAATAAAGTCTAGAAGATCGGCGCTTTCAAGAGCTGATGAGGAGAGAGTCGAGGAGCTTCAAAGGGAAAGAAGAGCAGAAATTGAGGTTTGTGTAAGATAATGAGCAAATTAATAATTATCTGGGTCAATATATGCCGTCCTGTCACTCATTTCATTCATATAAGTACATACGGTAATTCTATTTAACCGTATAGCAAGTGTTTGGAATTATATGTAGTTTTGTAAAACATTCAGTGTCCTACTTCTTTCCTAATACATATTATTTGTTTTTGATAGTACCTTTATTTTAGGAATTAGCCATTTAATATATATATTATTAATCAGCTACTCTTATAAACTTGTTAAAACATTTACAAAACATTGCTTTTTACTGTAATTCAATTAAAATAATCTTACAAAAATTCTAATCCTACTTTTACCCCCAGCGCCTTGTACAGGGCATGAGCCTGGAGGACCACCGTCATCTCACCTCTCAACTTTTGGAAAGACAGCCAGGTCTGGTTTTTGATGTTTTGTTGAACAACCAACGCCGAGATAGGCACACCACACCCGTGCAGGCCCCTGCGTTAACATGGTGTACTTGTGGCAATTGCACAGATATGCCAACAGATGCAGAGCGCAAATGCTGTGGACAAGACTCTGTAAACTGTATAAGCCTTCTGCCCCATTTTAGACTTTACTGTTTGGATGAAGGTGTCCTGAGGATCCATCGTCAGTACAGAGCAGACCTCACCGTATTAGGACAGATTAGGGAACCAGGCGATGACAACAGGGAATACAGGTATGCTGCCTACCGGCACTTCATTTTCTGGCAGCATGGGTCACTTGGACATGGAAATGGAAGAGTCATCCCAAGTTGCTGTGTGGTCAAAATTAGGGAGAAATTTCCAGACCCTCATAGACAGTATACTGGTTTTCTTCCGGGAGTGTAACTGGTCAAAAGTTTACATGGGTTGTTGAAGTGTTTCTGATATTTTGTACACCTTTATATTGTAATTTATTATGTTGAATAAGTATTTTAAATAAATATTTTTTGAAACCCCAATGTTAGTGTTGTACAATAATGACAAATTTAGAGGTGGCTACTCTTCAGCCATGTATACTCTTGTAATGTGAAAAAAAAACACATCTTTACAACTCCATAGTTTTGCATTACATTAGTGAGCTATTAATTTACACTCTTACAGGGTCAAGTCATGAAACAAAAAATATGTAATTTTCTGAAAGACATAAGAAATAAAGAAATTAGTACAGATGCACTTTTATTTGAATTAACCTTATTCAGAGTTTGAACAGACAAATTTGGAACACATTTTAATCTTGAAACATGATTTTACACACTTTAGGATAATAAAGAATAGATCTAACGTAAAAGACTGTGCAGAATTTATGTGCTACTTCAAGTAAAAAGAACAACATGTTAGCACAGTAGGAAAGACATCAAAGTGCAATATCTACATTTTTACGTACATTACGTTAGTAACACGCAGCAGGTATAGAATACTCCATGTAAATGTAGACAAGATCGTCACTGGAGGCCTGTAGCTGTGTTGAGTTCTGATACTGTGAAAAAAGTATTGTAAGACAAGTGTAGGTAAAGAACTGAGCTGTAGTCAAAGGATGCTAAAATGACACATACCAAGACCTCGGCTGACTTGGATCTGCACTAGCTCCGAAGTAGGTGGTGGAGCGATGGGTGGCACAAGACCGAGCCGTCTGGGGTCATCATCCCTCATTGATCTGGTACGAGGCATCCCGACTCCTCTCGCCAACCTCTCGTTGATTATTTTTGATTGGAGTACTGGAATGTATTCGTAGCCCTTTTCTGATTTTAGTGAATACACACTGTACCTTCTGGCATTCTTATTGTACTTCCGTTTGAATCTAAAAAATAGGACAATTGCATAATGAATTTCTGTCACGACAATGGGACAAACTTAAATAACGTGTAGTAACGTTTTAAGATGGTGTGCTACATTTTTGGCACTAGTTAGCATGAGCTCTTTCCCAAACTCTAGCTCACTCCACACAAACTTTGTGTCACAAAGCACACAACTACTACAATGAAGAAATTAAACACACATTTTTAACTTACCTGTCCAAAAGGAAGGTAGCAAGCTCAGCGTGTCTACTGAATCCCTTTTGTAACATGAGGTCTCTCCATCTTGGGAAGGCAACTCCTATATTTACTCTGGTTTTCTCATGACTCCGGTCTTGTTCACTTTTCAAAATCCTTTTTCTTTTACTTGGATGAGACAAACTATCCCGTTTCTCAAGTTTGCTTGAAGAATATGTGTGATCCTCCATCGCTAGAAGTACGGTGTGGCTAGTTTCTTCTTCTTCTTAGTTACTTTGTCAGACTGCATGCTTACAAGGCGCACTTCTGCCCCCTGCTGTTTCTTTGAGGTTACATCATTTAAAAACGCAAACATCAAATGCGAAGCTTAATATGTTGTATGTCCCTAAAAGGTCACTGTATTTTAAGATGGCGCATGCCATATGGAGCACCGGTCTGCTTCTTTTGTCTAAAATATTAAAATATAAAGCTAATAATAATGTTTAGAATAAATGCTTGTTTGAATTATCATTAAAAAAAACAAATTTGAGAATGTGATACAAGAAATTTGATAACTTATAAGATGAAATATCACACATTGGGCCTTTAAATCCTTTATCATTTGAATTGCCTCTTCTTCGGTGGGAGAACTTTTGAGACAGTCGTCCACATAAAAGTTCTGTCTTATAGACAGAGTAACCTCCTCAGGAAACTCAGACTGATTGTCATCTGCTGTTTTTCTTAGTGCATAACTTGCACAACTTGGAGATGATGTAGCACCAAACAGATGCACAGTCAGAAGATATTGCAAGAGCTCCTGAGTGAGGTCTCCTTCTGGCCACCAGAGAAAGCGAAGAAAATCTCTGTCTTCTTCTGCAACCTTCACTTGATAAAACATGGCTTGAATGTCACCCATGTAGGCAACTGGCTCCTTTCTAAATCGAAGTAAAACTCCAAGTAGAGAGCTTGTGAGATTTGGCCCAGGCAACAGCTTACTGTTCAAGGATACACCTTGAAATGTAGCTCCACAATCAAACACCACACAAAAAGATTTCTTTTTCGGATGGAAAACACGATGCGGAATGTACCAAACCTTTCCTTTTTCACAGTGCAGATCTTGGTGAGGTACTTGCTCTGCATATTGTTTTTTGCAGATTGTATCCATGTACTCTATGTACCGTTGGTGCAGCTGTTTGGTTTTCAGGAGTTTTTTCTTCAAAACTTGCATCCTTTGTTTGACTACTGCAAGATTGTTTGGTAAAAGTACTTCTTTGTCTTTAAAGGGCAACTTTAAACAATATTGCTTCCCTTGCAACACTGCTGAACGATCCATGCTTTCCATAAACTGGAGATCTTCTTGGGACATTTCACTCCCCTCCATGACTTTCTCGTTGAACTCATGCTTATATTGGTTTGCCAACATTTCTTCCAATTTGCACACAGAAATTCTGTTCACTGCGGCTGTGAGAGGTTCATCTTTTAAGATATCACTGTTACCATTCAGTGTACCACTAACCACCCATCCTAATACTGTCTTAATAGCATACGGACCATTTCCTCAACTATTAATAACTTCCCAGGGTTCCAGCAGTTTAGACGCATTGGTTCCAATCAGCAAGTCCACATCTGCTGTTATGGTTGCAAAACTGACCTTTGATAAATATGGCCATTTTGTCAGTTCTTCCTTTGTCATCATGTTATCAACAGTGACAGGCATTTTCACTTGTGTGAGGACTTCAGGAAGACTGTAGAAGTCGTCACTGTGTAGGCCAGATACCTCCAAACCATTCAGTAAGTGTGTTGGCATAACTGTTTTTTGCCCCAATGTGCTCAACAGGAAGCTGGTTTTCCGACCAGCAACATTCAACCTTCGCATCAGCTGCTCAGTACAAAATGTGGCTGAGCTTCCAGGATCCAAAAATGCATAGGTGTGTATTATTTGATTTCCCTTGGTGCTTTTAACCTTTACTGGTAAGATAGACAGCACACACCTTTCATTACCGGCCCCTGTATGTCCACATGTTTTGGGTGAAATTAACTGGTTGGGAGTATCCACTGTTTCAACTGGTGTTTCTCTTTTTATATGAAGCACAGTAGGATGGAGGTGTCCACAAACTTTGCATTTTAGACGGGCCTTACAATCCCGGCTCAGGTGCCCTGTACACAAACATGCTAAATAAATCCCCTTTTCCATCAGAAATGAGAGCTTTTCTTTGTGCCTTTTTTCTTTAAATTTCTTGCATCCCTCCAATGGATGTATGTGAGCACAATAGACACTCATCAGATGCTGGTTCTTTATTTCCTTTTGATACCTCCATTGATGTTACTGTGGTGGAAACAACATTTCATTTTACTCTGTTGCTGGATGGTAATCTGAAACTGGTAACAGCCTATGTCCCAATGACACCAGAGATTGGGTCATGCATTTCACCAAACAATGGATCTGACAAAATCTTGACACGACGTTCAATGAACAGGACCAAATCGTTAAAACATGCTGGACGTCCGGTTGATTCCATTATTTCACAAGCACTGGTCCTTCATTGCTCCTTTAACTTAAAGGGTAGCTTTGCAATAATGGCTCTCATATGTACGGGCATGTCCAACTCCTGCATGTGTTGCAGATCTTCCATGGCATTACTGCATCCTCTTAAAAATAAGGAATAGGCTTGTAGTGCTTTCAGATCTTCTGATTTCATGGGTTGCCAGGAAAAAGCCTTTTCCATGTAAGCACTTGAAATCGTATATTGATTTCCAAAATGTTTCTCCAAGCACTGAACCCTGTGGTACTCCACAAGTAACTCTGGAGTATGAAGAAGATTTGTCATGTACATTTACAAAATGAAATCTATCAGACAGGTAGGGTTTAAACCAGCCTAGCGCTGTTCCTTTGATCCCTACAACATGTTCAAGCCTTTCTACAAGAACATTGTGATCTACTGTGTCAAAGGCAGCACGGAGATCTAACAAGACTAGAACAGACACAAGATTCTTATCTGTGGCCATGAGAATATCATTTGTAACTCTCACTAATGCAGTTTCAGTGCTGTGATACTCTCTAAAACCAGACTGAAATTCCTCAAACAGATCATTAGTGTTTAAATGCTCACATACTTGGATGGCCACTATTTTCTCCAGGACTTTGGATAAAAATGGAAGGTTAGATATTGGTCTATAATTCAGTGGGTCATCTGGATCCAGAGAAGGCTTCTTAAGTTAAGGTTTGATTACAGCAACCTTAAAATCCTGTGGTACATATCCATTTACTGAAGATAGATTGATTATACCTAGAATGGGGGCAGTAACCAAAGGAAATGCATCTTTAAATAATTTGGTTGGGATTGGATCTAAAATGCAAGTTGAAGGTTTAGATGAAGCTAATATTTTTGATAACTCTGAAAGCTCAACTGGATCAAAACGGTTCAAGCACAGATGAGGTTCTACAGTTACCTCTGATGCTGCCTCACTTATTGAGGAAGAAGAAATCGTATTGGGGAGGATGCTAAAGATTTTATTTCTTATAGAATTAATTTTACTTGTGAAAAATCCCATAAAGTCGTTACTGCTGAGGGCTAAGGGAATAGATGGTTCAGAGCTATGATTCTGTGTAAGTTTGGCAACTGTACTGAAAAGAAATTTAGGATTATTCTTATTCTCCTCAATTAACGCTGAGAAATAAGCAGTTCTAGTTTGTCGAAGCTTATTTTTATTAAAGCACAAGACTATTTTTCCAGGATAGGTAGGCCTCCTCATGGTGCGTAGAGCACCATGTTCTCTCCAATTTTCTAGAGTTTTGTTTTAAAGTTCGTAAATGAGAGTTAAACCAGGGAGCCAACTTCCTGTCCTTAATTACCTTCTTTTTTAAAGGGGCAACATCATCTAATGCCACACGTAAAGAGGAAGTAACATTATGAACTATAGCATCAATTTGTGAGGGGCTAGAACTGAAAATATTGCCCTCTGCTACATGCCTCTGAGATGCTGAGGACAGAAAAGATTGAACAGTTGATTTAAAAGATGCAACAGCGTTGTCAGATAGAGACTGACTATAGTGCAATTTACTTTCATGTCTCGAGAACTCAGTTATAAAAAACTCAAAGGTTATCAGAAAGTGGTCCGAGAGGACTGGATTATGTGGAAAGATCGTTATTTCCTCACACTCTATGCCATAAGTCAGCACAAGGTCTAATGTATGATGGCAGGAGTGGGTGGAGCTATGTATTCTTTGAGTAAAACCAATTGAGTCTAAGATATTACTAAAGGCTACATTGAGGCAATCATGTTCAATGTCCACATGAATGTTAAGATCTCCCACTATAATGACCTTATCAGTATTTAGCACCAAATCAGATAAAAAATCAGAGATCTGATCCAAAAACTCAGAGTAAGGGCCTGGTGGACGATATTAAACTACAAACAAGAGTGGTTTTACAGTTTTGTAATCTGGATTAGGAAAACTAAGAATAAGATGTTCAAACGAACTGTAACTATAAATTGGTAAGGGATTGATTAATAGGTCTGATGGAAAAATGGTTGCATCTCCTCCTCCTCGCCCTGTACTTCGAACAATATGATGATTT